TGTTTTAAGGATTTAAGAAGACAAGCAAGAGGTATGAGACCCTGAGATTTGGACTGAGCAGTTCCCACAGTGACAGATTATGTACAGAGTGAAGAGGAGATAGAGAAGGAACCAAGCAGGTGGGTAGGAGGAGACAAAGAGAATCCTCCCTCCACAGGGAGCGGGGGCAGGATCAAGAGTCCAGGCAGGAAAGCGCAGGGTACAAGGAAGAGAGAGATGGGGAGGGAGCAGGAGGAGGGTATGGCAAAGGTCAGCAAAATGAGAACGAGTAGAACCAGTCTCCAAGGAAAGTGTTCTCTCCCGGCATGGGTCCGAGTTAATATTTTCTGGGTCCCTGTAGGCGGCGTCCTGCTATCAGATCACGAGGGAGGGGAAAGACGAGGTCCTGTCCTAGACAGGAAGGAGTTGCCTGTTCCTCACTCCAGGGACAGCGTCCTGTACCCAGAGAGAGGGAAGGGCTCACCGACACACCACACACCGATGCGATTTTCGATTTTCAAGACAAAGGGAGGAGCAGAGGAGCCTTGCAGTGAAAGCGTGGCATGACCAGCCAGTAGATGGGGACAAAGTAGAAGGAGTGGGAGAAAAGAAGGAAAAACACAGAGAGCCAGAAGGGAGGGAAGCTGGTGGAATGAGCTGAAAAAGGAGAGAGATAGTGAGCAGGCAGGAGAGAGAGAGAGCGATCCCAAGCTTTAGTAGAAGCTGCGGGAAGATGAGCCCCGGAAGAGCGGGAGGTGGGGGAGCAAAGCAAAACTGAAGACCAGGTTCCAGAAACAAGGAGAAGAACAGAGAGAAAAGGAGGAGGGAGCTGAGGGAGCGAGAGGAAAAGGAGAACGGAGGTAGAACAGACAAAAGCTCAACACCAAATAAGACCTCAAGACAAGAGGTCTGCAACCCCTGCAGAGGAAATAAGCTGCTTAGGTCACTAGGACCCCCAGTCTCAATGGGTAGCTGGAAACCCTTTATAGCAGGCTGTAAGGGGCCTGTGTTCCTTTGGGAGAGCTAGTGCACAGACCAAGAGACTCGAAGATAACGGGTTTGAGTGTGACAGAGGGGCAGGTCCACCCCCCAGGTGGGCTTTAGGCAAACACAGTAACTGTGCCAGACACTCTATGGTTGCAGAAACCAGTGCTGCCCAGTGGCCTTGAGTCAGGTCCGGGAGTGACCAAATTCAACCAGAAAGGAGATCAAAAGAAGATGTAGGAGAGCAGGAAAGAAGTAAAAGCAAGGCACAGTATACTCCCCGGTGAATGGCAGAGAGAGAGAGAGAGAGAGAGACAGAGAGAGACAGAGACAGAGACAGAGACAGAGAAAGGAACGGTTGGAGTGTACCTCAAAGCCAAAGCAATGGTGTTTGCAGAGGCCAGTAATGGCAACCAGGTCTAGTCAGAGGTCTTTACGTGCAATTTCCAAAAGGTTGGAGGTCCCTTGAGGTCAGAACTGAGTTTCGGCGCCATATGATAGATGAATCGGGTCAATCAGGAGAAAGCACCAAGACACAGACAAAACTCCAGCGGGATAGAGTTTATTAGCAGAGGAAAAGCACACGGGACAACTCCCTTTGGGATAGGGAAGTTGTCAGTCTACAGGTTGTGGGCTGGGGGTCTTTATAGGTGGGCTTCAGGGGATGCAGAAGGCGGGAACATATTTTTTTTTTAAAGTTAGGTGGGAAAGAGGGAGCCCAGGGCTTATCAGAACAGCTTCTGCTAAAACCAGCCCCCTCCATCCCCTTCCGTCAGCCAGGTTCTGGGTTATGGGGTAAGGAGTCCATACACTGTAAAATGTATCGGGGGGAAACAGCTTGTGCCAAGACAGTTCCTACATTAATGGATCCGAAGTGCAGGAGCCTGTTCTGCTTCCAAGACCATCAAAAGAGAAGCGGGCTGTCTTTGACCAAAAGGTGCAGAGAGTCTGCTCGTCTTGTCTTCAAAGACCAGGGTGCTCATTAACTCAGTTCTTTCATTCTCAGGCTTGCAAAACCATGAGGCCTGTTGGAGAGGGGGCTGCTGCAGATCCAAACCCTAACACTACCCAGTCCCCCAACCTGGTGCCCTGACCAATGCTCCCCACCCCCGATTCTCACCAAAGTTGGCCTTTGTCAAGGAAAGTCACCCAGCCCAAAAGACCAGGAACTGGCTCCCTCAGAATGCCTGGCTGATAAGGCCTTTTGTGCCACTTGGAACAGGTCATAGAATGTGTGTGGCTTTTGTGTGCATCTTCCCTACCCCTCCGAGTGGAGAGGAGCCGGGATACCTTGGCCCCACCCAGGCCCCTGCAATTTCCACTAATAGCTCAAAGTCCTGGTGGCCACAGCTACCCAGACTGCTGCCCTGTGTCTCCCACATGTCCCTACCAGGGCTCCAGGGGCCATTCTGTGGGTCCCAGGCTGAGGTGGGGACAGCTATGACCAAGTATGCTATACCTACAATGGCTATAGGTGCAGTATCCATGCCAGAGGGGGGTTCCCCATGAGGCCCTGTCTTCAGAGCTGGAGTAGAGGTTCCTGGAGGCCTGGTGGGCCTAGGAATGATGTCGGGGATGTGGAGTTCCTGGGTTCCCTGTAGCCCACAGAGGAGGGAGGTTGGGCAACCCCTAAAGCCAGGGTAGGGGTCTGCTCCAGAAACAGGAACGGGGGTGAAGGGGATGGCAAGGGGGTTCCAAAAGGACTGGCTACCTGGAGAAGTCAGGAGGGCAGCCCAGTGGTCCCGCAGCCCTCAGAACGAGACTGGGTGGTGGGGTCCAAGTTTTGGGCAGTCCAGAGAGAAGGACATAAAGGGCATGGGAGCCTGGGAGGCCAGGCCGACCTCCTAGAGGGGTGATATGAGTGAAGTGTAGGCTAGAAAGACAGGCAGCCCTGGGAGAGGTGTAGGTAGAAAAGAGAGGTGCTCCCCTTCTCTAGCCCCTATAACATGGAGCAGGCACCCAGAAGCAGAAAGGCAGGAGGCAAGCTGCGGCATGGTGGCCAAGGTCTTATGCAGCCTGGGGACCGCAGGCAGGAAGAAGGCTGATCAATGACAATCTAACGCTAACCAGGACCTCAAAGGGCCACGATGCTCCGACTGCCCTATCTTTCAGCTGTTGTGCCCAGCATCAGGTCATCTGCCACACTGGAGCTGAGCCACAAGCATGAAGCATGTTCTTGCTGTATGTACTTTGTTGACAGGCAAAAGTGCACGTGTTATTAACAACTGAGACCTGCGTGGCCTCAGCAGGAGCATGGGGCATCTGGCACTATGGGGGGGGGGTCCTCTTTCTTCTGAGACACAGTGGCTTGAGGCTGATCTTCAAGATGAGAACTGATTCAGCCCGTGTGGCATCTTTCAGATAAGGCAACATAAAACTGGACTCTTAGAAACAATGATTTCACCAGCGAAGCCCATCAGGGCCTCTTTCCAGTCTCCATTTTAAAACCTCTTTGTCTTCAACCTCCCTGAGAACAACTGTCAAATAAGTTCCTACTGTGGACTGCCCGGTGCAGGAGTGTCATGCTGATAAGATTGTGCGCACCTGCCCGCTTCACACTGTGCACTTGTGATGTCTGGTGTCCTGGGAGGGACAGCCAATGGGCTCTTGGCACCTGTGCAGCTGCTGCGTGTCCTGTAATGACTCGCAGTCGCTTGCAGCCCCCTCAGGCTCCTGGATTCTCGGGCTCCACTCAGCCACCATAGGGAGGACCCTAGTCAGGGCCTGAGGCTGTGGATCCTGAACCAGCCAGTGAGAGGGAACATAAGTGTTGCTTACATCAAGGACCTTGGTCCCTCAGCTTCAGCCAGTTTGTCTCTCGTAGAATGTTCATTCCTCCCGTCTTAACATTCCTCCAAAAGGCAAGCGGAGTGCAGAGGGACAGGCCTCGGACAGGCCTCCCAGGGGCAGTGTGTGTCTCTGGGACCTGGCTAGTCCTAACATCAGAACAGACTCCCAATGCCCACCTGCTGCAGGAGGTTGCCCTGAGAGACAACTGTGCCCACATGTCTGATACTTCCAGAAGGAAAAGATGCTTTCCTGAGCCAGGTGTCATCCTGGGAGGCCTAGGTCCCACACAAAGGTGTGGTATTCCGGTGTCTTAGAAGCAGAATCTGACAACATCAAGAAAGACACACACAGACACAGAAACACACACACACACACACACACACACACAGTCACCTGAGTCTGCAGTGTTCTGAGGACATGGCCTCCCAGTTCAAACGGCCAGAGTCTTTTCCATCTTGGCCTCCACCCCAGGGACAACTTCTGCCCTGCCCACGGTCTCCACACCCCTCTCACCTGCTGGACATAGGTCCTGGCAGGCATCCGCTCCCTACCCAACGCCGGCCTTCCTCACTCACAGCCACACACTGATGAACACATCACAACCCTGCATCCTTTCCTGTGCCTAGCTCACAACCAAATAAAATCTGACCTCCCAGCTCCTCCATAGCCACACTCAGGCACACTCCGATTGACAAAGGAGACTCCCCAGGGGAAGATGCTCTAGTTTAGAATAATTCCCCAGGACACCCCGGTGGGGGTCCTTGATGTTGAGTTTCCTCTATTTTCACACCCTTTGTTTCAATCAGTAACCCAGAGTAGAATGAAACTGATTAAAAGGGACTCAATGCCTTTCATTCATATACTGCAAAAGTTCCAGAGGGGATCTTCTTTACCTCAGTTAACAGCTGGATGAGGCCAGTGAGATGACTCCGTGGTGATTACTGCCAAACCTGACAACCTGAGTTCGAGCCCCAGAACCCACACAGCAGGAGAGAACCAGCTCTTACAACTTGAACTCTGACCTCCATATATGCATCCTGGCACATGCATCCAGCCCATACAAAGAAATTAATGCAATAAAAAATTTTAATCATAAAATGAACAGCTGGGTCAGATGGTCCCCTTCAGCCAGCCCCAGATGGGTGACACAGCAGAGGCCAGTGGCGGGCAGAGGCTCTGCGGGTGTTTCTGTACTAACCGCATACAGCTTTAATGTTGATCCGTTCTCTCTGATCTCTCCCTCCCAGATCTATTATAAAGTCATCAAGGACATTGAGCCGGGTGAGGAGCTGTTGGTGCATGTGAAGGAAGGGTCCTACTCCCTGGGCGTTGTGGCCCCCTGCCTGGATGGTAAGACCACACTGGGCTGTGGCCCTGGAGCCCCACCCACCCAGGAAGAGCATCCATGGTGTCCCATCCCTACACACCACCTGATAGGGCTAGGTACTGCCAGCTGATGATTTGGTTGAGTTTCTGGAGACTGGGGGCCAACAGACCTTAACACGTGCGACTAGAGACCCTTTCCTGGGAGCACAGCCTGAATTAAAGAAGGGCTTGAAGTAGTCTTGAGGCAACATGGGCAAGTTGGTGTTGTGCTGAATTGCACCTTTGTAGGGTGAAAGCCCAAGGTGACTTTTTGCTTGTGGATGTATGTGTACTGTGTGTATGCATAGGTGTCATAAGTGTGTGGATACACGTGTGCATGCATGTAGGGGCCCAGGGTTGACACTGGGTGTCTCCCTCGCTTACTCTCTGCTTCATTTGCTGAGGTAGGGTCTCTTGCTGAATCCAGAGCTTGCCAATTGGGCTAATCTAGCTGGCCAGCTTGCCCTGGGGGTCGCCTGCAGGACCACTTCCTGAGTGCTGGGATTACCGATGGGCTGCTGTACTCAGTCAGCATCTACATACATGGGTTCTGGGACTCTGAACTCAAGTCGGCATGCTTATGTGGCAAGCACTTTATCCACTGAGCCATCTCCCCAGCTCCCAGATGACTTTTTAAACTGTGATTATTATTAGCCACATTCTGTAGTATTGATTAAAAGGGCCTCACCCCAGTTTGGTACTTGGAAGGCTGGGCAGAGTCCAGAGCTCTCCACAGTAAGAGGTTCCAGTTCACTTAAGAGGGGAAAGCAGGTCAGATATCTCTGGAAGGAATGCCCCCTGTTCTAGTTTGCTGTTCATTGCTGTGATAAAATACTCTGACCAAAACCAACTTGAGGAGGAAAGGGTTTATTGCATCTTACACTTCCAAGTCATAGTCCATCACCGAGGGAAGCCAGGGCAGGAACTCAGGGCAGGAACCTGGAGGCAGGAGCTGCAGCAGAGGCTGTGGAGGAATGCTGCTCACTGGCTGATGACACCGCCCACAGTGAGCTGGGCCCTCCCATATCAATTAAGAAGCAAGAAAATTCCTCACAGACTTGGTCACAGGCCAGTCCAACAGAGGAAATTCTCAATTGAGGTTCCCTCTTCCCAGATGTGTCAAGTTAACAACTGAAGTTAAACAGCACATTGCCTAAAAGTTAACTAGCCTGGAGAAACACTTGGGGGGATTTTATTTGGTGGGAGGCAAGTCAAGGGCTGAGATGGAGCCCACAGTGAAACAGGGGTCCTTAAGCTCTTGACTGTAGATATGGTGAAGCCAACAGGTTCCCCAGTCTAACCACTCGTACCCAAGCTCCCTTGAAAGGATGCTAGGGAAGAGGCCAGTCTCACACTCACTGGGTGTTCCAACACACAGACTTAAGTTCTCATGCAGCGTCTAGCCACATGGAACCCTGGCACAGGAGGTTTCCAGAAGGCTATGGTGGCAATGGAGGAGTTCATTCTCTCTACTGTCACTGCTGAGCAGGGGATTCTAGAGTTCATATCTAGCTTCCAGAGGAGACTCAGGGGTGCGGGTACACGTGTGGGCCTGCATATGGAGGCAGAAGTCAGCCTTGAATGTTGCGCCTCAGGTGCTGTCTACCTTGTTTTTTTTAAGTTATTATTTTTATTTTATGTGTACAAGTATACTGCTTGCATGTATGTAAGTGCACCTGTGTTATGCAATGCCCGTGGAGGTCAGAAGAGGGCACCAGATCCCCTGGTACAGTTGTTAGCCACCATGTGGGTGCTAGGAATTGAAACCCGGCCTTCTGTAAGAGAGGTCAGTGTTCTCAACCGCTGAGCCCTCTCTCCAGCCCCACCTTGTTTTGTGAGATGGGGTCTGCACTGGCCTGCACTTGGCTTCCCAAGTAGGTTAAGCTGGCTGGCCAGCAACCTCCACGGATCTTCCTGTCTCTGGGTTTACAGCATGTTCCTCCACACCTGGCTTTCTATGTGGGTTCTAGAGACCAAACTCGGGTCCTTGTGCAAGAGCCTATGCGGCACTTTACAAACCCAGCCATCTCCCCAGCCCTCATGTCCAACTTCTTTTCTTTGGACAAGCCTCTACCAGAAACATTATTTCTCTACAAGAAAACATTATTTCCTGGCTGTTTCTAGACTCTAGAATGATTTCCATTCGTTCCAGTGAGGTATGGAGACCAGCGTTGTCCCCCTGCTTCCCTCCCCCGCCTACATGCATACTGAGGCCTGGAGGCCAATGCCGGCTTCCTGGCATTCCCTCAGGAGACACTCTGAGAAGACCAGGGATCTGGGTGCTCTCTGAGTTTAGCAGAAGGCTCTATCACCATATCCACAGGACTCCCCTTAGTTAACAGCCCTGCAAGCGGCCCAGCAATTGGGGTACTTTTTTTCCTGCAGCCTTTCATGTCTCTGACACAACAAGGAAATCAGGGCAGAAGGACTGTTTAACCAGACGGGTCCTCTCTGTTCCCCCTCTAAAGTTTGGTTTTAATTAGGCCATTAAGAAAAGAAAAATAAATGGCCAAGATCTGGGTAGCAAGGTTTCGTTTTCCTTAAAATAATTGTTAAAAGGGGCGATGAATCTCAGACAACACTCAAGAACTACAGAAGACGCCCCTGAACGTGAGCAGACCCCTCAGCTGTACGGTTTCATCTGTATACGGAAATTTATTTCTTCCAAAAGGTTTTTTTTTTTTTTTCAAATCTTGAGTCCTATTCCCCCACCTCCCACCCCCGATATTAAATAACTGGGGTCTACATTTTCCTAATAATTGATCAAACATTTGTGGGCTAATTGCTTTCCGCACATAATAGCCTGACATCTAATATTTGACTTTCCTAACCTCTGCTGTCAAGACCATTCCTTTGCCTCCGCAACAGCCCCCTCCCCCCACCCCAGTTAAACTCTGAATCACACAGAAAGAAAATTCGAAAGCGTTCCTCACTAAGATAATTATCATAAAAAAATCTTTTATCCCAGCCCCGGCTAAATGCAGCCGGCCCCTTATCGCCACAGGAATTTGGAGTAGACTCTTGAGCGCTTTTGAGCTGAACTTGTAGATTAGGATGCGGGTGCCGTGTAATTGTGAACCCCTCAGTCTCGAAGCCATTAGGCAGGGATTTATTTTTCTGTTATGTTCCTGTTCAGCCGTGAAAGTTGCCGATGGAACTTGAGCTAGACAAGCAAGGCTCAGGGTTGACAGGCAAGACGCAGGCTGCCGCAGCTCTGCACAAATTTGAGAGGAAGGTCGACAGACCCTAGCCTGTGACCCCCACCACATTTAGGTGGAGAGAGATCCCCCCCAATCGCTTTTTCTCGTGCTTCTGTTGCAGGGATGGGGGCCTGGGTGGGCGTGAGGAGGAAATGGAGCCCGTTTGCCTGCTGGTGGGCAGGGAACAGGCACTGGACCTCTAGGGCCTCAACACTGTAAGAAATAAAATAAAAATAAAAATAAAAAAAGCCAACCCAGAGTCCACAGGTGTCCTGAGGGAAGGCACGGTTCATTCCTGGGTCAGGTGACTTTATTTTGCTTTGATTATTGCATGGAGGGGGAAGACTTCTCTTTCATAAGAACTTCTTGCTCTCGGGAGAAAAGAAAGCAGTCGTTTGCATTCAGGAACATGTTTCCTTTAGAAAGGCTGGTGACAAGTTAGTTCCCCTCCAAGGGGCGGTGCATTGTGTAAAGCACACAGGAAAGACACAGGCTGTCATGGGCCATAATACGACATAATATCAGGATATAACATGCCCTTTTAGTAATTCTTCAAATGGAATTTTGTGTGCTGGGGAAATGAAAACGCTGTGCCCCAGGTGTGTGCCCAAGGCCGCCATCCCTGCCTGGAAGGATCTGGGATACTTGTCCACCCCACTCACCTGGGTAGGCAAGGCTTAGGCATGTCCTGTTCCCAGCTCTGTCCTTCTACAAGGACAAACTGCAGTGAGTCAAGGAGTGATGTGGGCGGAGGCTCACCAAGGTTGTTTTCTGCCCCCGCCCCAGGGTGACTGCCAAGATATCAGAGTGAGGATCAAGCTGATTCTTTCTTTAAAATCCCTACATTTTTATTTTTAAGTCCAAATTCCAAATCAAAACTGGACGCTTTGATTAGTCAGTAATGGCTGGTGATGGAGGTATTCTCAAACTTCTGTAATTATTCCTTGTTGGGTCCAGAAAGAATGTGATAAGAGTGAACATTTCTAATTTAGTCCCCACGCCTACATCTGCCCCCTTCCAGCCTTGAGGAGCAGCTCTGTGGGCCGCCTCGGGCCCTGTGTTGATGTGTGCTTGGCACACTCAGACTTGGGGCCCTTCCAGGTGGGGCTCAGACTCTCTGAAGACCAGGGGTGACATGAATACCTCCAAACTCTCACAGGGTCATGCTGTTACCCCTTAACCATCTGTGGGAAATTGGGGCCCTGCCACCCTGCATCCCATACCCAAATAGTGGAAAGACACCACTCATAACCAATCATTGATGAAGCCAGAGCACATAGCACCCTCTTTGGGGGACGTTCTCAGTACACTGCCAGCTCCCTGGGGGCCCAGCAGACCTCCATGTGAGCGGCACAGTGTCTTCACACTCCACTGTCCTGAAAAGAGATCCCCTGCTTGAGTTATATTGGATTCTGCTGTGGACCTAGAAGGTGGTTATTTCTGTAATGCAAGTCACCTGTGCACACATGCACACAGATGCACACACATACCCCCACGCACACATGCATAGTCCCAGCTCCTCCACACCCTGTCCTGTGAGTCACGTTGTGGTCAACCCTGGCACTCGAGGAGCTGAGGGTCCTGCTGGGGAATGCCTTCTCTGAAGGGTTAGGGGTGGGGACCTCCACCAGAGACCCAAACATAATCCCTATTTCCCCAGCACAACATGCAGGGTTTGTATGCAATGATACAAATCCATGGGTGTACACACTAAAATGATGGACACACATGTACCATGCATGCATGCATATAAACAGACACGCAACACAGCTAACACAGTCGTCCACATCCATACACATATAGAACATATAGACGTAACACACAGAAATACATGCAAAGTCACACAAAGACGTGCGTGAATGTGTATGTAGGCATGCTTGCACAACGCACATGTAAACTAGCTGCGTGTTCAAAATGTTCAAACACATTCATGCATGGGCACGCGTGCATGTACATGCACACTCACCAAAATCTGATGGGGTGGAATACTCACAAAAATGCAATTGCATATGCACATACATCCACACGCTTCACACCTGTGCACAAAATGCGTGTATTCATGCACTCATGCCCACGTGTGCACACAAGCCCTCTTTGTGCTAGAGCTCAGAGCAGGTGTTCTCTCTCCAGGCCTGGGTGAAAGCTGATGGGCGGGCAGCAGCCGGAGGAGGGCGGAGCAAGGCCTGGGGACCCGCCCAGGCCACAGCTCCAGGCTAATTGTTTAGCTTGGCACTGTGCTCGGATGCTGCCTCATAAACTTAATAATAGCTGCCCCCCTTTAATTTGTTTGACCTTGACGACAATAATTTATTATATGCATTGGAGCTCTGTCGTCTTTTTCTCCTAATTCATAAACAAAGCACTTGGCCCAGCTTCCTTCCCTGCTCCCCGACAGGGCCTCCTTGAGCCCACAGTGGCTGCTGAGAATACAGGAAGGAGCCTGTCATTGCTCCGTGTTTCCTACGATGCAGAAATGGGGTCCTCCCGCATGGCGCAGCACATCCCAGGACCTCTATGCCCCTGGGTAGCCAAGATGAGGGCTAAAAGGAAGCTGAGTAGGACCAGAAGGGTGGGCACAGCCCCAGGGCAGTAGGGATGGACTGGGTCTCCCGAGGCCCCTGAGCACCCAGGGATAGTACCCTCCTGCCCACTTCCTTGCCCTCTGTCTTGCAGAGGATCCCACATTCCGCTGTGACGAGTGTGACGAGCTCTTCCAGTGCAAGTTGGACCTGCGGCGCCACAAGAAATACACCTGCGGCTCCGCAGGGGCCCCACTCTATGAGGGCCTGGGGGAAGAGCTCAAGCCTGAGGGCCTCGGCGGGGGCGACGGACAAGCACACGAGTGCAAGGACTGCGAGAGGATGTTCCCCAACAAGTACAGGTACTACCCCACCCCAGCACCTCTGCCCTCAGTCAGCAGTGCCCTTGCTGCCCAGCCCACCTCCCTGTCAGGCCTGGACCCCAGGGCCAGGACACCCAGGAGTCACCTCCCTATGTGCAGCCTCCCTACGATAAGGACACAACCGTCCATTCCTCTGTCACTGGGGACAGAGTAGGTACCCATGGCTACAGTGGGAACTGCAGGTATTCTCTGATCCTTACCCCAAAGGCCTGGCCCCCAGGAATGCCCACTTGGGCCTACTCTACAGGCCACTGGCACAACCACCCTGCACCATCAGGGCTGTGGGGACAGTCTGATTGAAGTAAAGAACACAGGCCACCCCAAGACATGCCAACATCCAGCCCCAGAGCTACTTTTGGAATAAGGGCCCAAGCTGGGGGACACAGTGCCCACCACAAAGAGGACGTGGAACAGTCTTACTCTCTGAAAACATACCTCCTCAGTAGGGGATCATCGAGGGTCCCCCATCCATGAGACCCTGGCCTCTGTTCCCCTCAGATGGCAGCCGCCTACCCAGGAGGGACATCAGAGACACGGGCACAGAGAGCCCCAGGTCAGCTGATAACCAGACACAGACAGCTGAAGCAGACCCAGTTGGCCCTCCTCTGTCCCAAGGCCAGACAGCAGTGAGGACCAAGGCACTGGGGACCCTGGGGTCCCACATGAACCCTTGGGAGAGATGGGCATCCTGAGGTCTGGGTAGAGGAAGCCAGGATCTCTGGCCCCAGTGCTCTTGGGAGTCGGGGAGCTCTTCCAGTCTGGGCCTCCCAGTGTTGGCGAGTTTGCTCAGGACAACCTTGCAAAGTCAGAGCAAAACTCTATCAGGCCGATAACTGGCTCTGTGATTACTGGGGATTCACCGCCAATCCCATCACAGACTCCCTGGGGACAGTAGACCCACCACCCTGAACAGATGACTGAGAAATAAGTGTGTGGGCAAATCCCGACCGAGCGAGTCATGGAGAGCACAGCTGAGGAGGGTCCATGTTTTCTTTACATAAACACATAAATCACAATTAACAAGAAGGAAAAGATAGAGTCTCTGGGAACTGGAAGAGCAGGCGTTTCTGATCTAAACGGATGGCTGGGCCCCGTAATTAACGGGCCGTGATATATTACTGCTTTGCTCATGAAGATTAACGGTCATCCCAGAGACAGGAGAGGCAGAGTCCCCGGGGAGGAGGGATTAGGAGTTGGTTGAGCCAAGAGGACCGACCCCCTCGGAGCAGCTGCTCTCCCCAACCGCAGCCCATCTCATTCCAGACCCTCTCCGACATTGCTACTCTTCTGTCATGTATTGGGCCCAGCCATCAAGCACCCTGAAGCTTCTCAGAGGGGCGACCTGAGGTTCATAGCCTTGGCCTCACTCTGGAACTCTGTGGCAATGTTGATGCCCTAAACCTCTTCCCCTAGGTCAGCTGAGTGATAGCCAGACACAGACAGCTGAAGCAGACCCAGTTGGCCCTCCTCTGTCCCAAGGCCAGACAGCAGTGAGGACCAAGGCACTTGAGGCTGGCCTCAAGCTCAAAATCCTTCTGCCCTGGCCTCCTGAATACTGAAATTGTGTTGCACGCCACACATCAGGTTCAAACTTTGGACCGAGGGTGCTGAATGGCTTGGAGGTAGCTTTGTGTGAGGATGGTCCAGGCACTGGTTTCTACCTCTTACATGGGTAGGCTGTCTCTGCCCCTCATTCCCAATGGCTCATTGGAGGGGAAGAGCATAGGCCCCTCTGCCTCATTCCTGCTCACCTGCAGCATGATGGGAGCTCCCTGGGGACACAGACAGGAGAATGAGTCACATGGGGTAGGGGACCTCCTCTCCCAGACAAATGGACCCCAAAGTCACCCCATTCCCTGTGCACAGCTTGGAGCAACACATGATCGTCCACACAGAGGAGCGTGAATACAAGTGTGACCAGTGCCCCAAAGCCTTCAACTGGAAGTCCAACCTCATCCGTCACCAGATGTCCCATGACAGCGGCAAGCGCTTCGAATGTGAAAACTGCGTCAAGGTACCACATACCTGCCCCCCACACCTACACAGTCCTGCAGGTGGGCTGGGTCCCACCTTCCCTCCACCCTCCCTCCACCCTACTGTGAAACTCCAGGCATGTGGCTGTGGCTGTGGCTGTGTTAGATGCCCTGAGGTCAAGAGGGCCCTTTTATTACTGGGTAGGACAAAGACTGTGTCACCATGCAGCCCAGAAGGAACAGGACCCAGCCCAGAGCTGGATCCTCTCCAGGGCAGTCCCCAGGCCCCTACCAGTGTGCAGCGCAGTACCAGAACTGAAGCCCCCAGGGCCAAGACCACCCAGGTCAGGACTCTGGAAAACACCATGTCTGTCTCCTGCAGTCTGTGGGTAGGCCACAATGTTCTGAGTCACTGTTGGGGAAACTGAGGCCAGGAGAGGTTTGGCAGCCTGTTACGGTCCTCCAGTGACCGATCACAGCTGTAGCAAGACCTGTCCCAGTCAGCTCAGTGCAGCAAAGTGACAACAGAGAGGCAGGACCAGGCCCTCGTGGCCCAAGGCTGCCCTTGGGGTTCAGGAAGGGCACCCTTCAATGGCGTCTCTCTCCTCAGGTCTTCACGGACCCCAGCAACCTGCAGCGGCACATCCGCTCACAGCACGTTGGCGCCCGAGCCCACGCCTGCCCCGACTGCGGCAAGACCTTTGCTACATCCTCCGGCCTCAAGCAACACAAACATATCCACAGCACGGTGAAACCGTTCATATGTGAGTTGCCTGGGCTGTGTGCGCCAAGGGCCCTGTTCATCCAGAAACCCTTACAACCCATCCAGGTTGGGCTCAAGCCTTGTGACCCTGGCTGTACCTTGTTAGTTTCCATCCTCTCTGTAAACACACCCCTCTCGCTGCCCTGGCTTCCCTTCCCACCTCCTGCATCATCGCCCCCCATACCTCCACATTCCCTTGCAGAAGCTGGAGGTAGATGGTAGTTAAAGATCATACTTAGCAACTAATGTTCCCGCAGAAGGAGCCAATGGGTCTTCCTCCCTGTGTCCACCCTGCTGTCCCCTACCCTAACTGATCTCCAACTGGACCTCTACATATGACCATCCTGGCTGATGTGTTCTGAGCGAGCAATGTGTCTCGTAAGGAGCCCCTGTCACAACCATCCCAGCTAACATGTACTAAGGTGTCCCCTAGGGAGCCCCTGGGTGTGCCCAGTGCTGTCCAGGTGACCCTTGTCTTAAAGGCACTTTCACACTAGTGGAACGAGACGAGCGAGCTTTACACAAGGTGACAGTATGTCATCCCAAAGACGGAAGGGCAGGGCTAGAGCCTCAGAGAGGGCAGGCTGGTGCCAATGTAGGGGCCGCTCCCACATATCCATAGAGAGGCACCAGCAGAGCTTGGAAGGAAAGCATGTCCAGGGAGCCTGCACAGGTAGCCTGGGAAGAGGAGATGTGAGGGGACATCAGGTCCCGAAGCCTTGTAAGCCAAACCAGGACTTAGCCCCTGACTGTCAGTGAGTTCACAGGCCACTGAAGGTTTTCACTGGTCAAGCTTCATCCGTGTCACCACATGCACGGGCCTTGCACTCAGTATGTCAGCAATGTCCATCCTGTGACAAATGCCTGAAATAAACGAATGACGGGAGCAGAGGTTTGCGTGGGCTGAGTTTCAGAAATTCCAGCCCATGGCCACTTGACTCCATGGCTTTGGGCCCGGAGTGGGGCAGGAGCGTGTGGTACGGGAGGCTGCTCGCCTCATGCCGGCCAGGAAACAGAAAAGGATGGGAAAGGCCGGGGTACAAATAGTCCCTTCAAGCGTCCATTCCAATGATGTCACATCCTCCCACTAGGCCCTACCTCCTAAAGTTCCACCACTTGCAGTAGTAACCAAGCCTCCAACACATGGGCCTTAATTAAATTTAACAAGACATCATGGTACACACACCCCTGGTCATCATATGGTCATTGTATTGATTACCATTGCCTGTGCATTATCATATGACATACTTACACTCTCCTACAAAGCAGAGTCTGTTCTCTCCAATGGACAGGGGAGGCTAAGCTGCTAGACCCTGGCTTGAGAGGCCTAGCTCCTGGCCCCAACCTGGGTAACCCCAGAGCCTCTAAGGCTGCCATGTCAGTAAGGAGAAGAGGAAATGGAGACCTGAGTTAGGGTGTCCTCATGGGTGTAGGGGTCACTCACACTCAGGTAGGTGCCAGCCACCTGCCCCACAGAGGCCTTTGCCAGGCACTGGGGCTAGGCCCTCGTGCCTGAGGTCCTGGTCCTCTAACTGGATCAGATCCAACCTCACCTGGGCTTCTTGCTTCCTGCCAGCCAAGGAGCCAAAAGAAGAAAGAGCTCTGAGGGTCACCTTCCTCATTGCAGACCCCAGACACAGACGGCTATCTGAGCCACGGTGTGGCCAGTCTCACCCCTCACGCTGCCTGTGCCCAGTGGGAGGGGTGGAGGGTAGGGGGTCAAACTGGGCAGTTCAAGTCCAGGGATCCCAACTGCAGCTAAGGGTGAGTGCTATGTTCTACCTAGGTGCACAGCTCAGTGATGCCATGTGGGAGAGGCACATGCAGCTTAAAATCAAGAAAACTGAGCAGGCTTCGACAGCACTGACTCCCTGGACAGACAAGCAAGCTTTTCAAAGCCCTGTTGGTCATATTAGCAACATAAGCTCCAATAGCTACAGCACACTGGACGAGCCAAACCTGCTGTTTCCATGGCACTGTGTGAGAGAGAAGATAGAGCCACCCACCAGCATCCCTGGCCTGTACCCCTTCCTCCCTGTGGCCCAGGCTTCCCTTTGCAACATTGCTTTGTCCAAGGGTAGCCAGCAGAAAAACAAAGCCCAGAAGTGGGTGGGCAGGCCTCATGAGCCTGACAGTCTGTTAGATGCATCCGTTCAAGATGGGGTGAGGTGCGGGATGTGCCATAGCCTGGCGTGCTTTCATCCTTTGGCATGCGTTGGAGGGCTGTAGGCAGCTTGGGAGGGAAACTGCAGGACAGTAAAGAGAGTTCAGCAATACAGTCCTTCTAAGGAGGGACTCTGTCAGTTGGAGGACAGTTCCCAGTGACCAGATACCCACTACATACAAGCAGACTCTCTGTCCACCTGTCAGATGCCTGAAAACCCCCAAATCCTCCCCTCACTGAGATCAGAGACAGATAATATCGTTCTGATCAGGGAATGTTCATGGGGTAGGAAGTGCTTGCACATGTGTATGCATGGACAGAGAGAGAGAGAGAGAGAGAGAGAGAGAGAGAGAGAGAGAAGGAGGAAAGAAGGAAGGAGGAAGAAAAGAGACATGTCTGTGTCATAGAGGCATGTGGTCTCATGGATGCTTTTGAGAAAATGACCTGTGTGGCAGTAATAGTACATGACATGAGAGTGTGTGGTGTGGACTAGTGGGTGGACATGTGGGTGTTGGCATGAACCCACCCATGTACCCCAGAAGGAAAGGGCACTGCTGACCAGGATGGGCTCTGACCAAGGCCACTCCCTGTCCTGACCGATCATTGGGCTCTGGCCCCGTATCCAGTGCAATGTGGCAGCCAGGACTTTCTGACCCTGTGACAGCCACCTCCTCTCGCTCTGAGCTGGCTGTTGGTCATTCCTGGTGTCTAGGACGTGCCCTCTCTGAGACCTGCCTGGGGCTCCCTGCAGCCCATCCACCACAGAGCCCGCAACAGAGTGTGAGTGATGGGTGGGCACCAAGGCTCCCTCTGCCCAGTCCTGGAACTGTTCCAGGAGGCCCCTGGGTTGGAGGCTTGCTCACAGCCAGAGTCGAGCTCGGAATGGCGTAGATGATGTAGGTGCTGCCAGAGCCCCTTGGAGCCTGGAGCACAGCAGGGGCTGAAAGGTGTTGCCTGTCCGGTCTGTCTGGGTGATCAGAGTTCTTGATCTCCCTGTTGATGACTGGGGGCGGGGGAGTGTTTACAAACCACCTGGAGCAGCACCTCTCCATGAGCCATCGCTCAAAAGGGAAGATTTGATTAAATGAGGTAAAATTCATCTCCCTTCAGCCAGAAAATGTCCCACTATGCCAGATGACCAGGGAGGCAGGACGGCTCATGTAAATAGACAATGTGATTAAAGGGCAAGATGCTCCCTAAGAGCACTGTCCCTGGCTGGAGCTGAGGGCGCATGTTGCCATCACTGTCTACTCTGGGCTGTGCAGAGCAAACTGTCCTGCTGGGGAGTCACAGGGTGTATGTGTGTGCATGTGTGTGTGTGCATATGTATACTATGTGTGTTACATGTATGTGTATGTGTGTGCATGAACATGTATGTGTATGTATGTGTGCCTGTGTGTAGGTGTGTGCTTATGTATGCATGTATGTGTCTGTGTGTGTAAGTATGTCTATGTGTGTGTGCATGTATATGTGTATATGTATATGCATGTATGGGTGCATGTGTATGTATGTTTATATGTATGTGTGTATATGTGGGATGCGTGCATGTGTGTGTGTGTACGTGCATGCAGGCACACGTGTCCCTCTTTTCTTAGTGGAACAGGAAAAAGACAAGGGAATATGCTGTATGTGACCTGGAGTTCCCAGGCTGTGGGGAGATGGATGTCCAGGGTCCCTGAGCCTCTGGGCTAGGCTGGGCTCCAGCCAGCACTGCCCTGTCCTGTGAGAGACCAGGTTCTGTCAGCCAGAGCAGACCATGCTGGACCCCCAGGCTGGGAGCTCCTGATAGTAGGGTTTTCATGTCTGGGAAAATGAACTCAGGTTCTCCCTGAAGTTCCTAGACAGCCTCACCCCACCCTTGGCCAACCCCCAAACTGTGGCCAAACACAGGCGCCCTGTTCCCCAGCCCAGGTCCTGACTCGGGTTACTGCAAGAACCCTGGAACTCAGCATCACCTTTGGGGCCATTCTCCCCTGAGAGACTGGGGCAGAGAAGGAGGGAGGAAGCAAGGGACACTTTAAATGAGGAAGTGGGAGATTGCTCACCTTGTAGAAATGACCATTACCAAGTGCCGAGGGAGGTCAGGTGGACATTTGAGCTGGCAACCTCCTAGCTGCTGCTGAAGAAGTTACTATGTGCCGTCACTCTGCCTCTGTGCGGCCTAGACCCCAGGCTCCCCTCCTCCGTGGCTTCCAAATCTCCTGGCTCCAGCATTAAACACACTCCAGGGTGAGAAGCAGCGACCAGCAGTGGTATCACACTTCCTACCACAGACGAGTCTCTGTGGGGTGGTCCACCCAGCCAGGGACCCCAGGGAAAAGCACAGTAGTCTTTGCCAGTTCAGGCTGTTCTCTGGAGGCTAGCCTGAGGGTGGGATGACTGTGCACACAGGGAATCACATGCTCAGATATGCACATGTGTGCACATGTTAATAAACTCACATGTGTGCTACTCTGCAGAATGCGCACACACACACTGTAATGCGCACACACGGACACTCCAGTGCATGAGTTACAGGTACACATGAGACACACGTGTGCATACATGCATGCATACATGTGCACAGTACATATGCATACACCCACGCACACATGGGCACACGCACCCCCACAACCTGTCTGCAGACCTCGGGTTTCCTGGTCGTTTCATTCTGTATCTGTTTTCTTTCCTCTGTCTCAGGTGAGGTCTGCCACAAGTCCTACACACAGTTCTCCAACCTGTGCCGGCACAAGCGGATGCACGCCGACTGCCGGACGCAGATCAAGTGCAAAGACTGCGGCCAGATGTTCAGCACTACCTCCTCCCTCAACAAGCACCGGCGCTTCTGCGAAGGCAAGAACCATTACACGCCGGGCAGCATCTTCACCCCGGGCCTGCCCTTGACCCCCAGTCCCATGATGGACAAGACGAAACCCTCCCCCACCCTCAACCACGGGGGCCTAGGCTTCAACGAGTACTTCCCCTCCAGGCCTCACCCCGGGAGCCTGCCCTTCTCTGCCGCCCCTCCAGCCTTCCCCACACTCACTCCCGGCTTCCCCGGCATCTTTCCTCCGTCCTTGTACCCTCGGCCACCTCTGCTACCTCCCACACCGCTGCTCAAGAGCCCCCTGAACCACGCGCAGGACGCCAAGCTCCCCAGCCCCCTGGGAAACCCGGCCCTGCCCCTCGTCTCTGCGGTCAGCAACAGCAGTCAGAGCGCCGCGGCAGCCCCGGGCCCCGAGGAGAAGTTTGATGGTCGCCTGGAAGATGTATACGTGGAGAAGGTCAAAACCAGGAGCCCCGACATGTCCGACGGCAGTGACTTCGAGGATATCAACACCACGACAGGGACAGACTTGGACACCACCACGGGGACAGGCTCAGATCTGGACAGTGATGTGGACAGTGACCGAGACAAGGTCAAGGACAAAGGCAAGCCGGTGGAGGGCAAGCCTGAGATCGGGGGCGGATCGGTGCCCCCCGGGGCCATGAACAGCGTGGCCGAGGTGCCCGTCTTCTACTCACAGCACTCCTTCTTCCCGCCGCCCGAGGAGCAGCTGCTGACGGCCTCGGGCGCCGCGGGGGACTCCATCAAGGCCATCGCATCCATCGCCGAGAAGTATTTTGGCCCCGGCTTCATGGGCATGCAGGAGAAGAAGCTGGGCTCGCTGCCCTACCACTCGGTGTTCCCCTTTCAGTTCCTCCCCAACTTCCCCCACTCCCTCTACCCCTTCACGGACCGAGCCCTCGCCCACAACTTGCTGGTCAAGGCTGAGCCAAAGTCGCCCCGGGATGCCCTCAAAGTGGGCGGCCCCAGTGCCGAGTGCCCCTTCGACCTCACCACCAAACCAAAAGAAGCCAAACCTGTCCTGCCCACGCCCAAGGTGTCCTTGGTCCCCGCAACCGGGGAGGAGCAGCCGTTAGACCTGAGCATCGGTAGCAGAGCCCGTGCCAGCCAGAACGGAGGTGGCAGGGAACCCCGGAGGAACCACATCTACGGCGAGCGGAAGCCGGGGGTTGGTGAGGGGCTGCCTAAGGTGTGCCCGGCACAGCTGCCCCAGCAACCCTCCCTGCACTACGCCAAGCCCTCACCCTTCTTCATGGATCCTATCTACAGGTATTAACATGGCCTGCCTCACTTGCTCTCCCCTCTCCCTAGGGCCCTCATCCACAGAGGCGGGAGGGCCTCAGTCTGTCTCTCTCTCAACCCCCCAACTCAAAGTTCTTCCATTCATCTTTGCTGCTGTAGGAGATATGGGTACCACATCCTCTGGGGGACCCAGGTCCCCCGGGGAGTAGACATCTGGCTTGGCCATTCCAATGGCTAGAGACTTATTTAAGAAGGTCAGAACGGGGTCTCCCAAAGTACACAGTTCCCTTGCACTGATTACAACTCAGACATCTTCTGCCCTTCGGTGAGACCCTCCTGAGCCCTGTTTTTAGACCCCCATCCAGAACTCCTCCTCTGTGTCCAGCTGTCTTTTCTGGAACAAATTGTGCCTCCCACAGAGATCAATGCACCCTGCTCTGCCGCCCTACAGCTCCACTTCCCTGAGACTGCCCATGGCCCCATCCCCTCCCTGAGCCACACTGCCGAGGCTTCTGGTAGCCCAGGGCAAATCAAAGGGGCATAGCTGGTCCGTCTCTCTGTTAGCCTTCCCAGTGAAGGCCAAGTTTGAGTCTACTCCCTGACTTACGGACAGATGTTGAAACTCCCCAAGAGGCGGGTGGGCTGGGAAAGCAGGACCCGGTTTCATGTTGGGAGTCCTTCCCCAGCCAGCATATATCACCCACATATGCCAACTGAGAGTCACACAGGGTGGGAAGTGAGTGGAAGGCTGTGCATTTTACGACGCGCCTGCTCTGTGAGTAAGGGCAGATGTGCCCATGTGTTTTCACGCACCAAGTGGTATTCAGTGAACAAGGCTGTGTGCCTGCCCTCCTCCAGGCTGGTCATAGTGTAGAGATGGGGGCAGATGGGCCCACAGCACTAAGAGGGCCAAGCAAGTGAAAAGGATCTTGGGAGATAAAGACGTGAGAAAATGCTGAGTGAGGCTGGCCAGACAGCTGCTGCCCAAGAGAGGAGGGCATCTCCCCCGACGGGTGTATGGCCCCTTTGCCACCAGGGCCTGAGGCAGGGAGGAAGAACAGCCCACGTTTGGAATCATGGGGGTAATGGGAGGCCCGTGGTCAGGCCCTGGACACCACCTCCACTTATGGAGGACTGTGTAACAAGTTGTCAGTGATTGAGGAAGATTCTAGAATTGAAATCTCCAGCGGCCATCAAGGGTTTTCAGGGACGGCCTGCTTGGCTGCTGTAGGGAATTCCTGGTGACGTCCCCAGGGTGGAAACCTTCTTGCCACTCACACTTGTCAACACAAACAGGCAGTGTACGCTGTGCCAGTGACCAGCAGAGACAGGGCAGGTCAGGGAATGGGCAGAGCGCCCTCGAGCTGGAGCCCCTGACTGTAGCCTTCTGCCACACAGGTCTGACCAGCCAGGCAGAGGCTGGCACACGTGGAGTCTTCAAAGAACTTTCTGGGGGCGGGGGGTGGAGAGATGGCTCAGCAGTTAAGAACACTGGCTGTTCTTGCGGAGGACCCAGGTTCGATTCCCAGCACCCACATGGCAGCTAACAACTGTCCCTAACTCCAGGTCTAGGGGATCTGCCGCCCTCTTCGGACCTCCTCAGGCATTGCATGACACAGGTGCACTTACATACGTGGAGAAAATACACTCATACACATAAAATAAATAAAATATTTTTAAAAGTTTGGAAGGAAAAAAAAGAACTTTCTAGACTCTAGCACAAAGTGTTCCTGACATGCCCAGGAGGCAGCAGCCGTTTGAAGGGGGAGTGGGACACAGGGGCGTTCAAAAGAAGATGGGGAACTCATGTGGGAACTATTAAGTGTTGGGGGGCAGGTAAGAACTTGGGGATGCCTGGGCAGGTGAGCAGGTGGACCCCACTCACTGTACATGGGGATTCAGGTGGGAGCTAGCAGGGCAGCCCTGTCACCACCACCCCCATAATGGCCTCATGACCAACCTCACACAGGCCTGCTACTGAGGAGCAGCTGGCTCAGTGGGGTATGTAACCCTCTGTGTTGCTGTCCAGCAGGGTAGAAAAGCGGAAGGTAACAGACCCCGTGGGAGTCCTGAAGGAGAAGTATCTGAGGCCGTCCCCACTACTGTTCCATCCCCAGGTGAGTCTCAGAGAGTCCCTGAGACAGGTGGACCTAGGGGCCCCATGTGAACAGAGGCACTGGGCCTCAGCTTCCTGTTTCCTCAGAGGCTCTCTCTCTGTCTCTCTCTCTCTCTCTGTCTCTGTCTCTCTCTCTCTCTCTCTCTCTCTCTCTCTGTCTCTCTCTCTCTCTCTCTCTCTCTCTCTCTCTCTCTCTCTCTCTCTCTCTCTCTCTCTCTCCAGACCCCATGGGTCACTGTGGAGCTGGAGAGGATAGGGAAGTGTTGATCCTCATGGAGCAACCCTTGGATCCGTCTAGGTGTCTCTTGCCCATAGGAGCCTCATCCTTGGGCCCCAGGAAGGGATAGGATTGATGGCACAAGGGAGCAGACCCTGTGCGGCTGAGGCACAGCCAGGCGGGAACCGGTCTTCTGGGGCTGGCAGCAGCACCTGCAGGCGTTTCAGCAGAAGGACCAGACAGGGGACAGGCCTTTGTGCAGAGAAGCAGGGGCCGAGACTGAGCAGGAAGGAGATCTCAGGGCACAGAGGGAGGCCAGGCAGGGAGCTCCAAGGGAGTCTGAGAAAGGGAACCCTGGAGAGCCCCGAAGCCTGGAGGCAGAGTGCCACGAGGCAGGGTCTCCCAGATGCCCTGCACCCCTGTCTGTCATCATGCCCGGGTTCTGTTCTACTCCTGAGAGCTGCAGGCCACCGCCCCCAAGGCTCCTCAGGCCACTGGCGTCCTTCAGGTCAAAAAGCATAGAGCATTGTTCTCCCCCGAGCTTCCCGCCTTGGGTAAGCCGTCTGTGAAACCTGCACCCTGGCTGAGTTCACAGCTAAACTTAGGGCCTCCTATTGTTCCATTGGACCTCAGAGTTTGGTTAATAACTTCCCCCAATTTTCCCCAGCCCGGCTGGAAAGAACCGACAAGCCAGCCAGGCACATCCGGTATTTGTGTTTGTATGGGGAACTCACGGGAACTTCTGATCAGGCAGAGCAGGCCAGGCAGGCAGGACCCACCCGGGCTGGGGAAGAGAGGCCCGTGGGGGGCCAGCTGCCCATTGTCCCTCCTGCCTACTGCCCCCATGGGCCTACCTCTGCTGCTGCCCTTGTGGCCCAGAGCCAGGGCGAAGAGGCAGAAAGGAGGGGACAATAGTCTCCAACTGAAAGGTCCGAGGACGGACTGTGCGTCACTTGGGCAGAAAGGGCCTGATAACCATGGGTCTCTATGAAGCACAGACACCAGCACTGTATGGAGACATTAACCCTACCGTCACCAGGCCCCTGTGGGTCTGAGAGCTGACATACAGGTGTGTAGCCCTTGGGGTACAGTGAAAGTGCCCCTGCCAGGCACAGCCCCTTGCCAGACCAGAGGGTCCTGAGGAGCCCCTGTGTTCCAAGGCTACCACTGACCTGTGGGCAGGTGGGCAGCAGTGACACCCTGAGCACCCATCTTCCAGACTTTGCGCGCAGTCTAGACGGATGGTGGCTGAGCGACCAAGACAGTTTCCATCTGTCCACCAGTGGAAACAGGCAGCAAAGAGTTGACCTGACGTATACTGACAAGACTCATGGGCTGGCCCCATGGTGCTGGGCCAAAGCCCTAGTCTCTGCGGCCTGAGAAAAGCTGGCCAGAGCCCACGGCAAAGCCTCACCAGAGTGTTCACTCATCTGCTTTCTAGGTTTATCTCTTACAGCCCTGGTGGCTTGTTCCCTGGATAGCAAATGTCTCTACCACTGCAGTGTTAGGCATCCAAGAAGCACAGGTACAAAGCTCTCTGTCCTCTGCAGCCAGGGCCCACAGAAATGCTTTGGTCATTCCAACAAGGGGCTGAGGGACTGACTGACTGGCGGCCAGAAGAGCCACAGATGTGTGATATGCTGGCCTTCCTCACCCATGCGCAGGCGGCTAGGTCCCAGGTCCTGGCTTAAGTGAGCAAGGGCCTTGTATAGGGGGCTAGCACTAGGCAACTAAGCACTCCCTAAAGGCATCAAGCCATGACTGAGAGACCTCGGTGAGGAAGCTCCACTTGGTCCCCTGGGACACCCATGTTCTGCTGGGGAGTCTGTGGGGTCTTCATCTAGGGTCAATCTCTCCCAGCACTCACAGCACTTTGATAGCCTGACCGTCTATATGCCCTGCCCTCCCTTCCTACCCTCACCAGTGCTTTCTCGGTGATCTGATAGGCAAAACCTGCCCCTGGGGAAGATGTTTAACATTCAGAGTGCCCACTGAGGACCCAGACCAGCAGGAGGCCTTCCAAGGGCATAGTGACCTGTACCAGGACTCTCTGAACTCTCTTAACCCAAGAAGCTGTAGACTCCTCCAGCCTGTGGGCCCTTGCCTCAGCCTCCCACAGTGCCCAAAGGAGATGTGGGAGAAGTGCCTCTAAACCTAAGCAGCTCCACTGTCCTCTAACCTCTCCTGTCACCAAGGCTCTAAGCTTCAGTGGGCCTACGTAGCCTACCTATCAGAACTCCGCCCACCAGGAGGAAATGGCTGATCCCACTCCTCACATCCCTCCCCGAGGAAGCCCTTGGCATCTGCAGGGAGAAGAGGCATCTCCTTTTGCCCATATCATCTTTCCCAGTGTCATGTGACGTTTCGCATTATTGTTTGGAATATATTTTTTGTGGGGTCTTTTTAAGGACTGAATGGTCTTGTACTTTGCCTGTAATTCTGAAATGCTGCCACTAGGTGGCAGTGGCTCCCAGGCCCCAAGATCCAAGTGAGTCAAGAGCTTTCTTAAGACACTCAAAGTGGGGGAAGGAGGGAGGGAGGGAAGATTGAAGTTAGAGGACAGAGGGGCTAGGAAGGAGGGGGTAGGCAGAAAAAGAGAGGTGAGATGGAGTCAGGGGAGGGGAGAGACGGGGAAGAGAGAAAGAGAGAATTCTATGTATAACTCAACCTAGCCAACCAAGAGCTCTGGCCAGGGTCTGAGCAGGGGTTGGGTCTGCACCAGCATCCCCAGACTTCACGACTAATTTCTCACCCAAACCTGGCCTTGATTCTGTCATACAGCTGACCCTGAAGTAGCACCCCAGTTGCAGGATGGGCTGTGGGAAAGACCCTGGTTCCAGTGGCCACCTGAGGACCATTGATGTGATCAGACATAAGAACCCCAGGTGCCCACCAGGGAGGTGCATTCCCTGAAGACGGGTGACAGCTGGACAGAGTCACTGATCTCTGCCCTCTCTGTACCCATAGATGTCAGCCATCGAAACCATGACAGAGAAGCTGGAGAGCTTTGCAGCCATGAAGGCGGACTCGGGCAGCTCCCTGCAGCCCCTGCCCCACCACCCCTTCAACTTCCGGTCTCCACCCCCAACGCTCTCAGACCCCATCCTCAGGAAGGGCAAGGAGCGGTATACGTGCAGGTGAGGCCCTGCCTGCCCCTTGGGTGCCGGTGGGAAGGGCACACACCTGCTGCTTTGCATCGTGGGATTGCAGCCACACCTAACCAGCCCACTGTTTGCCTGAGGCCATCCTCTACAAATAAGTGACGCGGGGTGGACTTCTCACACCACCCACCGTGCCGTCACGCTGTCTCCTGAGCCCCAGATGCAGCCTCAGCCCTACCTGGCTGATTGGAGGCTAGAGGGGAGCTGTGAGTGGTCCCCACTCCGCAGCTTCTGTTGGCCATGCTGTTGGAAGGACATACTCCCAGGCTACCTTGCTGATCCCAGCCACTCTGCCCCTATGCCCACAGACTGGGGGAATGGGACAGGTCCCTCTGCTCTGTGCTCTGTAAGATGCTGGGCTCAGGGCAAAGAGGAGGTTACAAACCAGGATGTCAGTAGGACAGATCCTACCCCTGGGGGTAAGGCCTCTGCAATGGACTCTGGGTAGAGAAGAATCTAAGAATGGGTGGTATGGACCACCCTGATGTCTCTCCCGACTTCTCTTCCCTCTGCCCCAGGTACTGTGGCAAGATCTTCCCCAGATCCGCAAATCTCACAAGACACCTGAGGACACATACCGGGGAACAGCCATACAGGTAGGAGCCACCGAGTGTGCCTCCATGCACTGTTAACGTCCCTCTTCTGAGCAAACACCTACACCCAAATCCCTCAGGGCTGCGACTGACAGAGGGCAGGAGCCAGGGTGCTTACACTGACATCTGGTTTGGTCCTGTCAGCCTCTATCCTGGCCCACTGCCCTCCAGCTTCCTGGAATAGTATAAAGATAAGGCAGGAAGTACCCAGGAAAGTTTTGGAAGACTCCTGCCATGCTCCCAAAGTAGGGTATGGGGGAACCTCTCCTCCTGCTGCTGGGGCTCAACCAGGGCAGGTGTTCCAAATCCAAGGGTGGTTGTCTGAAGCTGGGGACCCCACAAGTCTCCAGGGAGAACCTTAACTCAACCACCCCCCATTCAATCCACCATGAGAACCATAGCGATCCACTCCCCGAGTGCTAGACTAGGGAGTGGTGGGAGATCTTAGCAAACACGTTTTCTTGGTTCACTAAGGCCGCTGCAGCACCGTGGGTGGGAAGCCGTGCCTATGTCCCTGAGAATTGAACACATAGGATCTTGTGATACGATAGTCACTGAGTTTACAGTTTCTAGCAGTGCCCCCATACCACCACCAGTGGGTCTTGCCTTCCCCACTTCAAAGATGAGCCCTCACAGCTCAGGAATATCCTCCAGGGTTGGAACCTATGGCCCCTTTCCTCTACTGTTCTGGCCCCAGGTTCCTGGGTCCTTTGTTTCTTTACAAGAAGGCCTTGGGATGAGTCTTCACTTGCCAGGGCCCTGCCCAGGGCTCCTAGTCAGGGAGTGGGCCTTTTAAACAGAGCCCAGGCGATTGTCACCCCGAGACAAACAGGGAAATGGCTATTTCTCTGCCAGGACCAGTTTAGCAGCACATTCTGGGGTGTGTCTGGCTAGCTGAGGCTTTGGGAAAAAAGAGTCTGGCTTGGTTTTAGGCTGACGGCATGAGATTCTTGTGCTGTGCCCATACATTGCTTGGGTTAGCAAGAAGCAGACACAGGCTGATAGAGCCCCTGGGCACTCAGTTTGTAGGCCCCTCCATAGGGACAGAAGCCATGGGGTATGTGTTGAGGTCTGCAAGGCCCACCCAGGTATACAGAAGATCCCCAATGGCCGGCCGCAAGCCCAAGTCTGTACTAGCAGAAAAAAATGGCAACTCCTTCTAATTCTGTGTCCCATGCCCCCACCCCCCTGAACACGTAGCCCCCGTCTACCCTCTGAAAATAGTGACTTACAACTTAACAAAGGCGAGCAACAGAAAGATTTATTTGGTCTGGTCCTCTCCCAGAAAACGAGCCCTGTGTTTTTTCTGTAATGAGAGCCGACTCCTGGACAGCATGTCGTGCTAAGAGCCCCCAGAGGGTCAGGGCCGTGTTTATAGAAGAATTTAATTATCATTGATTTCTCTTGCTCTCCAATCTGCAAGTTTCGACTTTGGTAACAATAATTGCTTTGCAAGTTTGTGTTGCAAATCCTGACTTTATCTGGCTCAAGGCAGGCCTGCGCTGAGGGGTTTAGAGCATGTGGCTTCCTCTTCCGATACCACAGTGGATCTTGGGCTTGCTTTGATAATCGGAAGGAAGGGTTTTAAGATGGAACAGGAAAATGCTTGGTCCATCCCAGAAGCCCACTGCACAGGGCATAGGCGTTCCAGGAGGTGCTGGACCCCTACCCCCAAATAGAAGCCCTGCCTCAGGGTTAGCACCCGTGTGACCCTGCATGTTCCCGTGAGTGTGCACATGTGGGTGTGTGCACCCTGCAGAGGCCAGGCCCCTGGAAAGAAATATGAAAGGGGTTGTATTGAGTCATCAAGAATCCAACAGTGGAAGTCTCACCCTTCCCATCTTTGTGCCAGATTATCTGAAACCATCCACGCAGTGCCTCTGCCCTGACACACGCAGTGTCTCTGCCCTGACACAGGGGTACCTCTTCTCTCTGCAGAGGCAAACTTCCCCATGCACTCAGCAAGGGCACAGTCCTTAACACTCAGCTTTTCTGGCCTTTGGAATCTTTGCCTGAAGTCGGAGAACAAGGCACAGCTAATGACACTCTTACTGCAGGATGCAGGCTTTGTGGACTTTGAGTTGCAGAAATGAAGATCGTAACAATGGGGGCTAAGCCTGAGGACCTGAGTTCAGATCCCCAGCACCTATAAAAGCTGGACATGGCTGCCTGCCTTGCTATCTCAGTTCAGAGTGGGCAAAGCCAGGAGGTTCCTGGAGCGTGCTGGACAACAAGTCTAGCCAAATCAGCCAGCTCCAGGCTCCGCAAGAGACCCCCCAAAAAATAAGGTGGAGGGTGATCAAAACAGACACGCAATGTCTGGCCTCCATACACATGTGCACACACATGCAGATTCACCTGCATACACACATACACTCACATACATATACATTTTAATTAAACTTTTGAATCAAAAATGAAAGAGCTGTGCCCAAATGCCCCTCCTCTCAACCACAATGTGGGGGCTCTCCCGGGTGTTGGGGGAGCCTGCATCACACATGGATGCCAACCCTCCCAGCCTAGGGTTCATGGTGAGGCTGGGACTCCTGCTTCAGGGATGCACACCTTCCTGTGCCCAGCTGCACCGCCTCCATTCCCTCCTGGGCTCCTGTGCTGTGTGCTGTGTTAAGAAAGCTCAGTGCAGGACTGGAGAGATGCTCAGTGGTTAAGAGCACTGGCTGCTCTTGCAGAGTACCTGGGTTCGATTCCCAGCACCCATATAGCAGCTAACAACAGTCTGTAACTCTAGTTCCAGAAGATCCAACACCCTCTTCTGACTTTTGTGGACATTGCACAACATGGGTACACTTACACACATTCAGGCAATACACTCACACACATAAAATAAAAATAATAAGCCAGGCGTGGTGGCGCAGGCCTTTAGTCCCAGCATTCAGGAGGCAGAGGAAGGTGGATCTCTGTGAGTTCAAGGCCAGCCTGGTCCATGTAGCGAGTTCCAGGCCAGCTGGGGCTAAGGGGAGACGCTGTCTTAAAAAGATCAATAATAATATTTTTTTAAAAAGAAAACCCAGTGATGTTTCCAACAGGGCGTTCAGGTGGCCCCTACATGTCCCCTTTTTGTTTATGCTTAGTTTTAGGCTTAGTTTTTTTTTTTCTCTTCTCTCCATTTCCATCCTTACTTTTAAAATGACCAAGAGCAGTGATGGCCAGTGGTGGCCCTACTGTGTCCCAAGGACACACAGTTCTACCCTCTCCTGCCTTGTATGTCCCTTGCTTCTCTGGGGCTGCCGCAAGCCTGGTCACAGCAAGGGCCTCCCAAAGCCCTCTGCTGGGCCACCATACCCTCTCATTCCTATGAGCACAATGGCGTGTTACTTTACACAGCACAGCTGTAAATTTCCCTAGTCTCCTGTCAGCTTATTCACAGTGCAGAGCCCAGCTGCTGGGCGAACTCTGCTCCCTCACAGCCCTGGGCTCGCTGCTCCCCTAAATTTCATATGAACCTCTCTGCCTGAGCCATTTATTTAGATTAGAACCAGGAGAGGCCACATTCAGGACTCTGCAAGCAGACAGAACATACAGCCCTGACTGGCTCCAGGGCTCCACATAAGCCTCTGCCCCTCCAGCCTCCCTCTCCCAGCCCTCCCTCTCCGTCTCACTTCCTCACATTCCCAGTGCTCAGAGTCTATGCAGGAGCTGGGGGTGGGAGTGTCTGTCAAAGGGTCTCTGCATTTCCTGAGGAACCACGACTAGGGTGAGCTGAGGATATGCTGCAGATGGACCGGCAGGCAGGTTGGCTGTCTGACTTGCAGCAGCTGCAGAGAACTCTCGTCTTGGTTGAGTGAAGATCTAGACCTAGGGGTAGCTCGGCCTTGGCACGTCTCTGTAGATACGATTACCTTCCTGAGCATTCACCCCCCAAAAGCAGAAAGGCCAGGGCTTGGCTCCACTGGGCATCTGTGTGTTTGAGGGTGTGTGAGGAGTGCGGGTGAGAGTCCTGCACTGTTGTGTGGCGTCAAGGCATAAGGGGCTTGTGCCTTGGTCTGAACAGGTCTGTTGTTGCTCAAGGTGGGAAAAGCAAACAGGTGTGGCTCCAGGGTGGGCTTTGCAGGTGGTCACATGAGTCAGACTACTCCATGTTCCCAGGCTGTGAGGAGAGGCTGTGACCAAGGATACCCACATGCCCAGAGGTCACTCCGATGACCCAAAATGAAGTAGAAGCCCAGATCTGGGCTGAGGGAGGAGGAGGCTGGGCTGTGAAGAGCCTAGTGAGGCAGTTCAGGAGTGTAGAAGGACCCAGCTCGAGGTTGGGGGTGTCAGCTGTGGTCAGACCTGGAAGAAGAGTCTGGGTAAGAGGGAGGCCCCCTCTCAGAGCAGCCTCCCAATCGCAAGGGACCACTTAGTAAGTTTCCTAGGTTTTATCAGGCAGCCTGGGGACCAGGGGACTTGCAGGATCTGACAGTCCACTTGCATGTTTATAGCTCTACAGCCCTCAGGATTCTGGGCTCAACAGGGACGGGAACACAGGCTGAACACCTCTGCCCCAGGACGTGAGCAGGTCCAGCAGACACTTTGGGCAGGGACCCTCACAGGCTCTGATGTCAGTCTCTGGACCCGGCCCCTCCCATGCTGGGCAACACAATGCTATAAAAGCCACTTTGACAGTCAGGCCTGTTCCTGGCTGTGTCCCTGGTGTCCTTACTCACGTCCCCAGCCACATGACAAAGGCTTGTGACCAAAACACTGCTCTAGAGCAGGCCACCAGTCCCAAATCACAGTGGTAGGTACGTAAGAATGCAAGGGTGCCGTATTTAGAACGGTCACGCCCCACCTCAGGGTGAACAAAGCCCCCCACTTTTGCCCCTACTGAGACTAGCGTCACAGGCCCTGGCTCCCAAGAAATGACCAGCCCTGTCTCACAACACTGAACATCTTGTGTTGAGCTGTTTCCCAGGTATGAAAGTATATAGTCATACAAACAAGGTTTTCAAATGCTGTGTGCCTCTGAGACCCAGATAAGCACAGAGGCGTTCTGGCAACCAGTTTACACGCCCGTGCTCACATATGTGAGCTCTCTCTCTCTCTCTCTCTCTCTCTCTCTCTCTCTCTCTCTCTCTCTTTCTCTCTCTCTGTTTCTCTCACACACACTGCAAATGCACATATATGCACAAAACCATGAGGTCAGGATTCCTGATGCACGCCCTGGGCAAGACCCCTCCATTAGCCACCCTGGGGCTCAGACTTCCCACATGGCAGACCCTGATTCTCTCCGAGGCAGCCCACGTGTACCATAGAGCTGAGCCGTCTCCTTAAATCACCCTCTCTGTTCTTTGTCCCGGGCTTGGTCTCCTTGCTGTGTCTATTGCTTAAACCCAGTTGTAAATCGGAGGCAAGCAGGTTTCTGTTCTCTGGCGTTAGGGCCACTGAGGTTGTGCCTGGTACAAGGGCCCACACCTGGGGGGCATTCACAGGGCAGACATCCTTCACTGTTGTAACTGCTGACTTGTAGCTGCACCGTGCTTTCTGATAAACTGTGGGCTAGCTGCCGGCATCTTTTTCATTTCCCAAGTGCTCCAAGCATGATAGTGAGGCTCTGCCCACCTAGTGAGGGAATGTCAATAAACCCAGCTCACAGTGCCTGGAAGGGTTTAACATGGCCACTAGACACCCTCAACCTCAACGCCACAAGGCCAAGGAGACCCCACCTCCTCCCCTTCAGGGCTACCAAGGGCATTAGATAGCCACACTGCATCCCCAATTCAAATGGGGCCTGCCCAAGGTCTCCAGCGGTCAGAGGAGTAAGGACCAGGTCTTCTGTGCTAGAGAGGAAGGTTGCAGACGGCCTTCCCTTCCATGGTAACCTGCTAGAATGGCTTTCCACAGCTTTCCATGGTTCAAGGCTGCCCTCTTAAGGTTAACTAGAGAATATCACCTCAGACTGTGAGTCTGCCAGGCCTGGACCAGAAGGCAGACACAGGGAAGGGGAAGGGGAAGGGGAAGGGGAAGGGGAAGGCCCAAGGGTTGTGAGATGGGACTTTATATATGGGGGCTTTAGGGTGTGGAAGGGGGAATGTTTGGGGGAGAAATCAGGGAGGGGGAAGCAGGTAGGATTAGG